GAAGCTCTTCCRTGCGGATCAGGTAGCTCCCAGAGGMGRGTTTTCCAGGATTAATCACGCACCCGTCCTGGTGTGTGACGCGTGTACATGGAGGAGCATCGCAGCCGTGCGCCCGCGTCGGAGCACACGGACACTGAAGCACCGAGCGCTCGCGCAGCCGCCCGGGCTGCTCGTCCGCACACGAGGATGCCAGGGAACAGGCGGGATAAGGATCGACCAGGGTCTCCCCACTCAGCCTAGGTAGGAAACTGTGGCAACCAGAAGCGGGCGCAAACTTGGAATGGGTTGTACAGTTGTATTGCAGCAAGTATGAATGAGAGAGTGCAAAAAAAGGGTGTAAAACACCTTTTTCTGGTCACGTTGGTAGTTTTGGGAGGGCTCTGCTCTGCTTGGGGAGCAGCCTAAGCTCTTCCACCCTTAGGGGTTAAGGGGAAAAGGCCCTTCCCGGGTGTAGATGTAGGATAAGGGCATTGAGGATGGAGTTTCCCAGGTTCTTCAGAGATTTGCTTTTCTTTCAAAATATGAGAAGGGAAAAGTGCAGGAAAATACTCAGAGCTCTGGGGTGGACAGGAGGGCCGCGCTCACAGGGATGCACCGTCGCGCTGAGCCGCGCTGCACATGGCAAGTGGCAGACTGAGCCAGCCGTGTGGCTTTCAGACAAATGTCACTGTTTTGTGCCCAGGCTCCGGACCCTACGTGTGCAGCAAGGGCGAGCGCGGGAAGGGCTGGTGGGATTTGGAGGCTTCAGGGCTCTTCTTAACGGAAGCGATGGACGTAATTAACAGAAAGTTGGTGTCCAGAGCCTGCTTTTCCCACCACTTCTCCCTAAGGCAAGAGCAAGTTCCCATTCTCCTGCGCTCAGTCAAGGAATAGTCCTCTTTACACCTCCCCTATGGATGGAAAGGTAAAACAGTGTGAGTGCCTGTGCTCAGCGTGTGGGAATGCTCCCAATTGCCCCGAGATCCTGAGGGATTCGGGATGGAGCGGCAAGCCCGAAACCCCCTCTCTTCCGTGGGCCCGAAGCCCTGGCCCAGGAGCGTGGCTCCGGACGGGGAGGAGTTTGGGAGTGGGGAGCAGCACCATGCGCCTTGGAGGCTGCCTTGCTATGGGGCCAAGCCGCCCTGCGCTGCCCGAGCAGAGCGCCCAGCTGCCCACTCCATTTTCTCCCTTTTTCCCCTTCTTTCACAACCCTGCTCATGGATTTTGTTGCTGCTCCGTCTCGGATCTTCCTGTGCATTGCGCTCCCCCCGAGGCAGGCGCTATTCCCGAGGCGGGGATTTTCCCGCCTCCTTCTCATGATTCCCAGTGCGGGGCGCCCGGCCTGGCATCCGGCCCCGAGCGGGGCGCCCGGTCCCCACGGCGGCCGCGCGAGCGCTAATCCCCGCCGGGCCGCCCGGGGGGAGGAAATCCCCCCTCCGGCAGCGCCGGCACAGCCAGACTGACCCTGGCAAATGAAAATAATCAGGAGTAATTAGAAGCGTGCTGGCCTGCTCCTCGGAGATCTGCGCGAGAGAATAAACATGCCGGAGCCCCGCGAGCCGCTGCGAAGGCCCATGTCTGAGCTGTTAGGTGCCCTGACCTTGTCCACATAAAGACGTGATTTATGAAGTGCAGGGCACAGCAGCAGGGCTTCTGTCTTCTCCAGAAGAACCAAATTACTGAGGTGGAGATTAACATGCTTTCAGTTGGGCCCATTTCCAGACCAAGGGAAATTTTTTATTTACTTTTTTTTCTTTTTCTTCTTTTTTTTACCTTTAATTTCCTCCTGTGCGTTGCTTGGAGGCTGCCGGCGAAGGGCCCGGGGCTGCCGCCGTGCGGCTCTGCCCCTGCTTGTGCTGCCTTGCACCTCGCGCCTTCAGAAAGGCCCCTACGAGCAGCAGCAAGCGGGGAGAGAAACCGGCCCCGTCCCGCGGGGCTGCTCCTGTTTGTTTGCTCCCCTCTGCTCCGTTTTCCCTTCTCTGCTTTCCCTTTCCACCCGCCTTGTCGGCGCTTCACGGATGCGGCCGGTATTTCAAGCGCTCACCACAGCGTTAGCCAGGATGCTCAATGTTGTGTTTAGTCACCTTGAGAAATATAACGTTAAACCCCACTTAGAAATGCGGTTACGAAGCGGCTCGGTCTATAAACGTGAAGGATAATATTAAGCTTAATGTGAACATTTACAGCATTAAAAAAAAAAAAAAAAAAAAAAAAAAGAGAAAAAATAAAAGAGAAAGCAAATTGCCGGCTTTTCCCGGCTCCTTCGTCCTGAGGAAGCCTGTTGGAAGGGGACAGCGCAGGGATTTCACGTGGTGCGGCCGCGCTGCTTTAATGATGTGCTGGAATGCGCGGCGCCCATAGGGTCTCCATTACGGGAACTCCTCGTTCGGGGGCGACCGTGAAGCTGGAGGCTCAGAAAGCGGCTCGGCTTTCAGGCCGGAGGGAGCAGCCGCGGGCGCGCGGCTCCGGGCGCCTTAAATAAACAGGAGCCGAGGGGAAGGAGCGGGGCCTCCCGGGGCGCCCGTGGGCTCGAGCTGCGCTCCGAGTCCATGGATAGTACATATACTATATATATATTATATATATATTTATATATWTTTTTTATATATATWTTTTTATATATATATRTATGTATGTATGCCCAGCGCGTCCCGTCCACGGTGCCCCGGCGCCCAGCGCCACCTGGCGGGCACGGGCGGTGTCGCCCCGGAGCCAGTACCGGCCGGACCCGCTGCCGGTACCGGGACCCCCCTATATATATATAAATATATATATATTTGTTGTTTGTCCCCCGGCGTTTCCCCCTTTTGTGGCGGGGCTGGGGGCGTTGCTGGAGGGGCGGGGGGGAGGCCCGGCTCCCTATCGGAGCCTCCGATCAGGCCTATGGGCTCGAGCAATCAGTTTCCCAGATTACTTGTATTTAATACACAATGCATCATAAAACAAATCCCTCATCCTGACAGGAAGAAAATAGAACAGCTCATAGCTCGAGCAGCTCCAATTTATGGCTAAATTAAAAAAATTAAAAAAAAAAAAAAAAAAAAAAAAAAAAAAGGAGAGAGAGAAAGAAAAAACAAGAAGCGAAGGCAGCGGCCAGGGCTCCACAATGGGCAGCGGGGAGGGCAGGAAACCGGGCCCGGCCCCGCGCGACGTTCTCAGGCCCGGGCTCCCTGGGAATCTCCCAGCAGGTTTTTTGAGGTTATTGATAAAAATAGGATTTTTTTTCTTTCTTTTTTTTTCTTTTTTTTTCTCCTCCTGTCCTACCTACCACAACTGTGCGCGGGGTGGTATGGAGCTTTTTTTACAAAAATTTTCCCCCCCATTTTTTTTTCCCCCCTCCCTCCTCGCTCCCCTCCCCGCCTCGAACAATAGCCATTATCTGAAATAACAGTTCAATGTCACAGATAACAGGCCGCTGAGACGAATTAATCATCATCTCTTGTCACTCCGCTCCGCGCCCTCCCCCTGCCCTCCTTCCCCCACGAAGAGAAATCGACTTTTAGGCTGAGAAATATATTTGCACTTAAAAAAAAAAAAAAAAAAAAAAAAAAAAAAAAGTGGCACTTCAGGAACACGAAGCAAGGGAGAAAATTTCAGCCCTCTTTTTTTTTCCCCTTTTCCTCGTTTTTCCCTTTTTGTTGTCCACTTCCCCCCCACCCCCAAGCATATCCATTTTGGTCTCCGCAGCTTCTCCAATTCGATACCAAATAAATAAGTCGGGGCGGGGGKCGCTTAGGTAGCGGCTGCAGACGGGATGGTTGTTCCGCTGGGGGGGAAAAACAAATAAACAAACAAATAAATAAATAAATAAAGATAACGGGGGTCTCGGGGAAAATCGAAAATTTTATTAAGAATATTAACCGGGCAGCCCCGGGGGGGGGGGTCTCCTCCGCCCCCGCATCCCCGGCGCGCGGGGGGCGACGCGCGCTCCCGGTGCGACCCCGCCGTGACCCGCGCGGCCGCGGTCGCTTTAAGGGCCGCCGCGGGCACCGGCACCGGG